ATTTAATGTGCACTATTTCTGGCAGTCTGCAAAGGCCCTTAGTTATCAAGTGTCTATAGCAGGCACAAGTGGCTGCACAGAATCTGGACACTATCTTTAACTTGGGAATTTTGATTGGCAAGGAAGAAAAAAAAGATAGTATTCGTATAATATACCAGAGACATTTTGAAGAATAAGAGGGATTAAAATGCCACAAATATCACAATAAAAGGACCAATGAATTAGAATGTGCCCACTACACGCTGCACCAAGAGGATGCCCTGACGCACACACTGTGCAGAGGCGCACATTGTGCAGGGCAGAGTCAGGGTGGTCAGGGCGGCTGGTGTGCAGCTGCCTCGCCCCAACTCCTCCCCCAGGCCAGCCTAAAGTGCCAGTCTGCATCCCCCCATAGTGTCCTGAAATGCAAGTTGCTTCTTTCAGAAAAGAGGCTTGTAACTTAATAGATATATATAATAACAATCATTTGGCTCTATTATAGGCCCATCAAGCAGAACAGGGTAGCTTGAGCACAAGACTAGAATGAAGTGGATCCAACTTCAAATCTCTACCCAATTAATATGTTTCCAAATATTTGGTGCAATCCAGTTCTAAAGGAACTATTTCCCAGTAATTCAGAATCAATTAAGGCTCACAGTAAATGAACAGAGATATTGCTGAAGCCTCACAACTTCTTTTATATCAGTGTTAAACAGAATACGATGCTTAGGCAGGCAGCAAGATAATTCAGATATGAAGTGACTTCTTCTGACTGTAGTTATTATAGCAAAGTCTGCCTGCCCTCTGGTAAATGCACAGTTGATGTGGAAATACCATGTCTGAAAGCAGTTGCTCATTGATCGACCATACGCTGCTCCTGTGGAAAATGAAGCAGGCCTACTGCTTTAGAGGAAACGTGAGTTACTTTCCAGCCATTTCCTCTAGAAACCTCTGCTTTTTGTACATCCCCTTTTGTTGCCACCACCACTTTCTTTGCTGCTGTGACAAGAGGCTGGCCTGGCCAAAACAGCCAGGAGGGTCATAGGACAGGTGAACAACTCAGGTTACTTGTGTGAAAGGGTGAATATGTCCAAGAAAAAAAGAACACAGGAAAGATCTTCCTGACATCTCAGCTTCTACTCTCAGGGTGCCTTCAACACCAAAGTGCATTCACGCAAGTTACTGGACCCGCACATCCTGAAGTGCAACTAGTCCTCAGAGACTTATACGATACACTTTTTGGATGCTCAAATTAGCATATCTTTCCTTGAAGAGAATAAAAAACACAAGGAAGTCAGACAAAAAAGGGGGGTGGGGAAGGAACCCAACTAGCACGATACCTATTTTTCAAAGAAGTAGTGGTATTAGTTTTTTGCAGCAGAAAACAAGGGCGGTGGAGGCCAGAAAAAGAATTTAGGACCAGCTTTAACACTAACTGGTTTTTATTTTTGCACGAGCTTTTGTGGATATAAACCCGTTTCTTTGGATGCTATGCCAGACTCTAATTTTTCCACTACAGCTATTTTAATTTATGTTATTTATTGTATTTTATTGTAGTTTGTTATTTTAAGCTTGTTTTTAAACTTTGATTGTTTAATTGCATTTTAGAGGGGGTGGGCTATTGGGCTATTATTATTATTATTATTATTATTATTATTATTATTATTATGTGTGTGTGTGAACTTATGAATGAATAGCCCAATGAATGAATAACCCAATGAATTCCATAGCCTTTTCTTAGGCAAGGAATACTCAGAGATAGTTTTGCCAGTTCTTCTCTCTGAAATACAGCCTACAGCACTTGCTGCCCTTGGGCAAGTCACACTCTCTCAGCCTCAGATAATGACAATGGCAAACCCCCTCTGAAGAAACTTGCCAAGAAAACCCTATGATAGGTTCACCTTTGTTGCTGTGTGTCTTCAAGTCATTTATGACACACAGTGACCCTAAGGCAAAACTATCACAGGGTTTTCTTAGCAACATTTGTTCAAAGGGGGTTTGCCCTTGCCTTCTGCTGAGGCTGAGAGCGTGCAAGTTGCTCAAGTTCACCCGGTGGGTTTTCATGGACAAGCAGGGATTTGAAACCTGGTCTCCAAAGTCCTAGTCCTAGTCCAACGCTGAAACCATCACGCTGGCTCTCACAGATTTTGCCTTAGGGTCGCAAAAATAAGTCAAAAATGCATTGGAAGCAAGCTTCTGGAATCAGACAGGATCTGGTACCTCATCTAGGGTGTATTGTTTGCCTTCAAGTCCTTTCCAATTTATGGTGAACCTATCACAGGGTTTTCTTGGCAGGTTTCTTC